TTACAGAATGAACAATACTGATCTGGCTGTTATTAAAAAGCAAGGGTTGAAGAGCTCTTTTATAGGAAAATTCTACTGTATTATCCACGTTAAAAGAGAGTAAATTAAAGTCAGAGCAGGCTTTTATTTTAAGTAGATCAGAAGTTATAATTGCATGAAGAGTTGCAATATTAGTGTTCCTCCAGGTAATATTGGTATCTTCAGCGTAAAGAAAAATTTTTCCATAAATTTTTAAGTGATTTCATTTATAACGATAACGAAAAGTGGAGGGCCCAGTACTAAACCCTGTGGTACTCTACATACAAGGCTTTTGTAACTAGAGTCAGAATCATTTTTGTTCTAACTAGTTGTTTCCTACTTCTCAAGTAAGATTGGAACCAATTCAAAGAAATACTTCGAATTCCGTAGAAATTTAGTTTTTTTATCAAAATGTGATTTACACACTCAAAAGCTTTAGCATACTTACAAAAAAACAGTATCAGTATAAAGATTATTGTTTAGTGCTTGATAGACCTCATGTACATTTATTAAATAAAAAGCCGAACTAACTTTGTGATAAAATGTTGTTTTCAACGGAGAAAGGACATAACTCGGGATTTTATAAGTTTCTTAATAATTTTGGATAGGACCGATGGTAAGGCAGTAGGTCTATAGTTCAAGGCATTAGATTTTTCACAACCCTTATGAAGAGGAATAATGATTGTTGTCTTTAGGCTCTCTGGAAATATACCTTGTTCAAAGGAATCGTTTATTTGTGAGACCAGTACTTCCAACATATTTTTTTGGAGATTTAAGAAAATTCTTAATAGATAGTCCATCAGTACTACAGGAAGATTTGGTTTTGATATTACCAACTGCTTGGATCAATTCAGATTTATCAACTAGTCTTATAAAGAATGTATTCGAGACCCTTTTTGAATTGGGGAGATAGGAAATAAGATCTTGTTGTGGCAAAATAATTGATGTTAAATTTTTACTCACATTAACGAAGTATTCATTTAGATTTTCAGGGTTTGGAAGAGAAAATGTTATAGTTTTCCGGAATATGTAAGAAGCTGTGTTAGTTTTGTTTCGAAGACCGTGTGACAAAAAGGGTTATTAGTAAAAAAATTTAAGTTGAATTTTCATATTTATACTCTGGAAGAGATTTCTAAATCAGCACATATTAAATATGACTTTTTACGAATTAGTAGTCACAGTAAACGATCGGAAGAGTCCATTTTCGTGACGAGGACAGACCGTTATGCAACATGTAAACTTTATCAATTTTATTAAAATCTAATAAATAAACAAAATTACTTTATTCAAGTTATACATATATATATATATATATATATATATATATATATATATATATATATATATATATATATATATAAAAGGATTTCCACAGTTTTCACTGTATTCCTTCACTCAACCGTTTTTCTCCAATTTTTCCTGTTTAGTCAGTCCCCTTCCTGTAGGTTTCTTCTTCTCATTGCTTCGTCCACTTCATCTCTGAAAGATCTTCGGGGTCTGCCTCTCTTTCTTCTTCCTATCGGGCTCCACTTTGTTATTCTACGTATCCACCGATTTTTCTAATTTTTCCTTTATGGTCTTTCCGTACAGTCTTTTATATTGTATATATATTTCTAATTTTTCCTTTATGGTCTTTCCATACAGTCTGCCTATAGACGATATAATGCTGATTCCCCGATAGTTTTCGCAGTTTTTTCTATTTGCTTTCTTGTATATTGATGTCATATATGCTTGGGTCCATTCTGCCGGTAAGTCTTCTCCATTCAGTGCTCTCTCAAACATTTTGTGTACCATTATTTAAATTAAAACCTTCGAGCTAGTCTACAGGTCTGCCTACTCTACCACTTTTATGATGTTTTAGTTTATTTAATCTTTTAATAATGTTTAAAATGTACCTTAAGTCCATGGACTTTTATAATATAATCTTTTTTATTTAATTGTAAATACAAAAACTAATAAAACCTATATTTGAGTAAATTTGTTTAATTAGAGGGTTATGATTAATAAATCTGTAAAAATCTTTTCTTTACCAAATGATTTGTAAGTTCTGAAATAACGCTCTTCATATGTATTATTTAAATTTTTTAAGATAACTTCCGTTGCAAAACCAATAATCTACTTTTAAGTGTACGGATTATTTACGACTAACGTAACTGAACGCTTCGTTATTGAAACTTCTTTCAAATACAAAGAACAAAAAACATTACGAAAGCAAAATAAACTGTAAAGAGAAACAAACTATAAGAAGTCTGGCGTCTCTAACCCGTACCATAATAATAAACCTTTTTTTATTCCAAAAACCCCATTAAATCAACGCAATATACATTTCAATATATCCTCTTTTATTACCAATTTTATTGCATATTCCATTCCTCAAAATAACTATTACTTTTTTAATCCCACATAAAAGCTTCGGTTTGACTCCAGTCACTCCGACTCACTTCCTCCAACTATCTAAGGCGCGTTCTATCTTCGTTAAATTGCACAGCTTTTTGGAGCTTTTCCGCAAGGGTGGGAGCTAGTGGGGGTGTAGACAATGTCGAGTTAACTATAGTGGGGGAAATGGACATTGGTATCGGCTTGAGAGAAAATTACTGAATTCAGTCATATTCAGTCTTACTAGCGAGTTAGATAGTGGTGGTCACATGACGTTGTTATCAGTGATTTTAATACGTGTTTTTAAGGAATGAAAATAATAGTTGGATTATTTCTAATACAGGTAAGTGAGATTATTTTGCAATAATTGTAATGTCAAGGTTGTATTTTATAATGTTTTGTCTGATTATGCAGCGATATTTTTGATAATAATTATTTAACTCAGTTGATATATATATTGTACAATAATAAAATTTAAGTTTACTTTTAATATATACTAAAATAATAGTTTTTTTTAATTTTAGAAGAATATCTTTAAGTTGTGTTTTAGTAATAGTGTCCATTAGACTATAATGTTTTGAATAACACACATGTTTATTCGATATTTCATATTTTATTTTTCCTAGAATTTATATTTTATTAGCAAAAGGTTTATATTTACATTTGTTTCCGATATTGTAAACATTTTTAATATGTTTTGTTTCACTGCCTTTTTTCTGAAATGTTGATGTTTTGGACACTTGAACACACAATGTTTTATAATAATCTCACTATTGTAATTACAATTTAGTAATCTACTATAAAATCACTGTAACAGGTTTAACTATTGCTTATTCCTATTTAGTTTCCTCTTCCAATATAAATTTTAAACTCTTGTGCTTTGACTTTTATAACTGAATCTAAGTATGTAAATGGAGCCCTCAATATTTTTCTAGTGAAATAGTACCCATTTGTTTTATATTCCAATATAATTTAACCGATATTTGAAATAATTCAAACAAAAACAATTTTTTATTCAAAACATATTGACAAATGTTAATTAATTAGAAATGCCCCCTCACATCAAAAGAAAATATTTGTAATTCCAAAAAGGTCACAGAAGGTTATCACGTCTTAAAAATATAGGTTAAATATTTATTAGTTTAAAAAAATATGTTTGAACTTTTGGGTGAATATTTATTATAAACAAACTTTAATACGACTTTTTCTTCGTCTTTTTCTAATTTATTTATAGATATAACGAAGTGATGTTTGTTATAGTTTTGAATTTGGTGTTAAACCTTGAATATGTTGATTATTAAGAGCATTATTTTAATAATGCGGCGTATTTTTTCAATTCCTTAACTTTTTTTGTAAATGGGCTATTTTTAAATGTTGTTTGTATAAGCCTTATTTCTATAATCGTCAATATATCCTTTTTTTTTGTCACTACTATTTTCCACCAGTATTTTCAATTTTCATGGTAGGAATGTTTTTCTATGTAAAAGTTTACTATGATTACGAAAGGTGGATTAAAAATTAAGGGTAAGCGTTTGTTTACACAAGTAAACAAAACTTCATAATGAAATACTTTTTTCTGTATAATCAAGGGAGCTTTAGATTCGAAAAAAATTGAGAAATAATCAGATTTTTTTATAAAATATTTAGCTATCAATAATTATGTTATTGCTGATCATTGAATAGTGGAAAATGCCACGTGTTCATCTATTGTTTACTTGATCTTTTTTGTAAGATGTTTGTCTTAACAAAATATTTTGGATTTATGATATATATTCATTATTATATTTGTCTCAGTTAGTTTTTTTACTTAAGTATTTAGAAGTAATTAGAAAATGTTAATGAATTCATGATTATAAGAATTCTTAAGAAAAAGACCTACAGTAATAAGGAATTTTTAAGGCAGTAGAAGATGTTAAACAAAAAAGAGAAACACATATAAAGTGTGTGTGTGTGTGTGGAATTACAAAACAGAATTACTGCTGCCAAAAAGAAATATTACATTCGCGATTGAAACAACTGAATTAAAACAAAATATCCAATATAAACATAGATCCAATATAGAACCTAATAATTAACTGGACATACGTACCATACAAAGGCAATGACATGGATATGGTAGGATGGTGGATAGATGGAATAAGAAACCAGAAGAAGTAAGAAGACCGGATGATGATAGAATAGTTAAAATTATAAGAGACGCTAGGAAGACCATCAATGAGGTGGTGAGATATATATTGGAATCACAACAGTAAGTACAAGTGACTGGCCTAACGTAAGCAGGAAAAAAGAAAATATGGGGAAAATGCATGAAAGCCTTTTAAATCCTTTGATGTATGATAATAAAGGAGATCTAGATCCTGTAGGGTGAATATTGACGATAATTTAATGATTAAAGAAAATTAAGAAAGTTAAAAAGACAATTACGAAGAAATTAATTCAACAAAAAATAGCTCTGGGAGTACTAATAAAAGCGACTCACATAATATTTGTTGGATCTACGAATTGCATTTAGGAATAAAATATGTAGTATGTAGTAGTATATAATTCGTAGAAAATTTGGGTTAATTTTCGTCATTTGTATTTCAGACTTTGATTTTTAACGTGAAATGAGAGGTGGTGTTTCTGACGATATGACTTCAACTTGCGTTCAAGGAGGAATTAGACCAATTGGACGGTATCAACCAAACATGATTATGGAACCATCGTCTCCTCAATCTGCCTGGCAGTTTCATCAAGCCATGCCGGTAAGTCATGTTACTTTAATTGCTAATTATTTTTTATTAATAAATTCGGGCATTAATGGCCAATTCAAATTTGTACCGCACAAACAATTTAGGATCTTAGCACATGTAGAACTACTAAGAATTTATGAGTGAAATTTGTAAAAAATATCGATATGTGTTATCACGGTAGATCATTCCTTGTTTTCAAATTTGTTTCAGCCAGAATTACTGTCACCTTATCTTAGTATGGTTTTGAAACTATTTTCTTGTGGTAATTCTATATTAACTACAATATTTAATAGGAATAAACAAAAATTTTGTACACTTTTTTACGTTACATGTCTTAGCTATAGAATGCTCGCAAAATTAACCAGCCGCTACGTTTATTTTAATTAAAATTAATGAGTATTACAAAAATTTTAAATTTAAATTGTTTTTTATTGTATTTTATATAAAAAAAAAGTTCCAAAATATTGATTATTTAACAACATACAAAAATTTATAATAAATGCATTATTCCAGAGTACAATATTTTGCGCTTCGAGCTCCAATAATAGCTCTCATTATTTCTGGCATAGACTGGATCAAAACTGCAGACTTGTTTTGTGACATTTGTTCTCACTCGCTTACCATCACCTACTTACTAGTCATAATTTTGCCCAACTGCTCTTCCCAAGTTATCCTACAAATACTCTTTGGGTTAAGCTTTGGACTTCTAGGAGGCTGGTACCCGAATACCAACATATCTAAAGTATTGCATTGTTACTGTGGCTGTGTATGTGGTCGCGCATTATCTTGCATTCTCTACAACTAGACTGTACCCTAGGAGAAAAGCAACATTAGGGATACCACGCTCCAGGCCTTCTCCACACTCTTTGTGACCATATGGTGAATATCTCGTAAAACGAACTCATCTGTAAAAGGACCGTTTCTCCAATCTTCTATATAGCAATCTGCATGAGCAATGGCGAGTTCCAAGCATTGCCTTCGATGAGCTGAGTCCAATTAATATAGGGCCTGTAGCAAGTGCATAAGATGATGAATTTTGTTTGCTTAATCTTCTACATACGGGATCAGGTGAAACTGTGAACTTCCACGGCATTTATTGTCTTTAGCCTTACCTGTCCACTTCTTGAGTAAGAACAAGTTCGTTGTAAGTGGCATATTCAATTAAAACATCCAAATGAATTAAAAAGTTCACAACCTTTTTGTACTAATCAGTCCATCTTCAGTGAACTTTGTAGTACTATTGTAATACCGCAAAACCGTGGTTGGGTTTAAATTGATAAAAACATTCTTGGAAGTATTAAAATATACGGCAATATGCCGATGTAAATGAATTCAGACAATTTAACAAAACTAAAAAGAGAACTTTGTAAGTTTCACGTGTCAGGTTAATTTTGCGGAGCAGTGTATTAGTGTCCAACCTTCGAGTCTACTGCATAGATCATTAGTTTGACTTAAATCAGAATCATTCTCATTATATTGCTTTTATTTTTGATTGCATCTATCTTACGTGGCACCCGTAGCTCAGTGGCTATATTGCTTAATAATTTTTCAGTTTCTAATTTAACTGAGCCACCACCTTGCTTTGGAAGGTACGCAAAGCCGTCTGTCCCGGCTATGCTAGTGGTCGTTATGACCGACTGTGAAATTAATCTCATAAGTTGTCCGCCATTCATACTATCAAATTTTAACGTTTTTGATTAATCATTTCTGAGAAAACTGAACTCCAATTAAATCAATTAATTTATAACCATCTTCAATTCATTTATAACCGTCTTCATCGCTTGCTCTGAGCAGATCTTAAACAATATAGGAGACACGCAGCATCCTTGTTTGAGTTCTTTTCTTCCATTTCATCCATCCAGTTTTCCAATAATTTTATTTTGTAAAAATATAATGTTGCTCATAATATTGATGATAATTCTCAAATTGGCAGTTTTGATAGTGTTTCAATGGAAGATTCACTAGTTAAAGGATTTCTGGCCATAAGAATTTGTCTACCACAACATTAATTTAAGTACTCCACTGAGTTTCGACTTACTGTTTTTTCTTTGCCTCCTTCACTTCATGAACTGTATACTATTAGCCCGACGAAAGAATCAATAGACCAGATTAAAAATGAAGGGATATAAAAATGCAAAACATATAACTAGAAAAATCATCCCTTATAGTGCTTCTAAAGTCGTTAAAGAAGGAAGAAGAGTGTGTTTATACCTAGATACACCATTTCCTGTTACGTTTACTGGCCTATGAGTATATTTGTGAATTTTAAAATAATTTCTGGTTTATTGATTTTAACATTTATTTTTGCCATTAAATTTTGACACACTTTATATACCTTACGTCATAGGACTTTGTACCCAAAAACCTCACTGGTAAATATTTTTTATTTGTTAGTATTTCATAACGCGATTACTCAAAAAGAAAACCACATGAACAAGGTTTTTTTGTTGTTTTCGTATATAAATATGGAATGGATATTGTGTTTCCTAGTCTTCTATTTTTGTGGCATATTTTTGTGGTGTTTTTTTCTTTTGAAAGAACAGAATGTAAACAAACGCCACTACATTAATTGCCAGCTATTTTTAATTTTAACGCTTCATCATCTTGCTCCAGTCATCTTTCAGACAATCGCGGTGCTGATAAACGTTTGATGTCACAATAAAACGTTTGGATTCTTAAACCAATCGTTTCTCTTTATAATTAGGAATTTTTATACTTTATTAATAAGAAAAGTTTAAAATTTAATTATACATAATTGTTTATATATTTGTCTTTGCCTATTAATAAAATTTACTGCGACCAAAATAATGGTGTATAAGTTACAGTTTGGTAGTTTTTGTAGTAAATATTTTAAAAGATGTTTTTTAAAAGTAAATATTTTAAAACGCTATTGTTAATGTTATATAATATAATAAGGATTGATTACGGCTGTCGCCTCTTCTTCGCCCCCAATTTCTTTTTTTTTCTGTCATATGTAGTTGCCTCTTTTAAGTCTCTTGCGGCCATTGCTTCATCAATATCGTTGTGCCAACTTCTCCGTGGTCGTCCTCTCTTTCTTCTTTCAGGAGCGATCCATTCCAGTACTCTTCTAGCCCATTTGTACTATGGCATTCTTTTAACATGTTCGAACCGGATTAATTGTTTTTTCTGCCATCATTGATATTTCCCTCCATTTTCATTTCGTTTCTTATTTGTTCATTTCTAACTCTCTCCAGTTTTGATCTACTGCAACTTCGTCTCAGATAATCCATTTCTGTCGTCATAAGTTTGTTTCTATTAGCTTTGGTGACGTCCCATACTTCCGAACCGTAAAGTGTAATCTTTTGGACTATACTACCGTAAATGTGTTTTTTGGTTTCTCGTCGAATTGTTTTTTGCCAGAGAAGAGAGTTTAAGTCACGGGTCGCTGCTCTGCCCTTGTTTATTCTCTCCCTGATTTCATCTGCGCTTATTTCCTTCTTGTTGAAAATTACCCCTAAATATTTGCAGGATTGCACGCCTTTAATTTTGTCGTCTTCCAAGACTAGATCACATATTTCATCTGTTACCACTGAAAGATATTTACATTTTGTCATATTCATATTTAGACCTGCCACCTCATATTCTTCTTGCAGTTTTCTTACCATATAGCTAAGGTCGTAGCTGTCTTCGGCAATTACTACCTGGTGTATATAGTGTGTTTTCTTCCACCGTTATTCCCATGTTTCTATAGGAGTTTCTTTATTTCGCTGCACTCGTTTTTCCAGTGCAATTTTTAATGTGAAAATATTATCCATAGGGGAGCGTCCGGAACTAAATCCCGCTTGTTCTTCGGGTTGTTTGTATTTAATATCATTTTCTATTAGGTTTCGTAGTACATTTGAGTACTACTTATATAGTCGGTCTATAGTAGCAATCACTGCGATTCCTATATAGTTTTTAGGATCCGTCTTTGTGCCTTTCTTGTGTATTGGAGAGATATACGATTGTCTCCATTTTTCTGGACCTTCTTCTCCGTTTAAGCACCATTCGAATAATTTTCGGATCATTTCAAATAGTTTTGATGATCCATACCTAATTAACTCTTGATGTATTCCGCCTGGGCCAGGAGATTTTCTTAATTTCATTCCCTTAACTGCTTCTTTCACTTGTTCTATTGATATTTCTATTCTTCCTTTTACTTCCACTTGTTCATTTGTCTGTTTAAACCTTTCTCTTCTCTCTGTTAATAAGTTCTCAAAATGCTCTACCCATGTGTTCTCTGGTATGCTATTTATTATGACTTGGTTTTTTGTCGTTATTCTCATCGTATTTGTAGTTCTCCAGGCTTCAAAGCTCTTTGTCCCTCCTATGATTTTGTTTAGGTATTGGCATTTTGTTCCCATGCACTATTTTTCTTTTTAACCACTTCTCGTTTAACTTATTTATTCAAGTTTTATATTGTTGTTTTGTTTTTGCGTCTCCTTGTTGTAAGAACTTTTGATTGCTAATGCTATCCATTTTATATGTCCCTCACTTTAAGTTAACAGTATACTCATCTAATAATCTTAGACAACTAATCATACATTACTATACTATTGACTATTACAAAGAGAAATTCAAACTTTTTTATTAATATTCTGTAATTTTTATTTGACTAATCATATCTTTAACAATTCTCGTTTGTTACAGAAGCGAGAACCCGTCGATCATGATGGTAGGAACGACTCCGGCTTAGCATCAGGAGGTGAATTTGTTTCATCTTCGCCAGGAAGCGACAATAGTGAACATTTCAACGCTTCATATTCACCTCCAACCAGTTGCCATACAGTAATTTCTACATCCAATACTTTTTATCCCACCAGTTTAAGAAGGCCTTCACAAACGCAGACAAGTCTTCCAACGCACATGATGTACACCGGCGATCACAACCCGTTAACTCCTCCGAATTCGGAACCTATGATTTCCCCCAAAAGTGCGTTATCAAGAAACAACGAAGGTGAACATCAAACTACTCTGACACCTTGTACGTCTCCTGGTGATGCTTCTGTTGATGTAACAGATAGCGGTAATTGCGACAGTGCTTTAAAGAAATTACAAGCGACTTTTGAGAAAAATGCTTTTAGTGAGTGTTCTGGGGATGACGATACCAAATCTGACGGAGAGCCAGAAGAATACGACGAGCAAGGACTAAGAGTTCCAAAAGTTAATTCTCATGGAAAAATTAAAACTTTCAAATGTAAGCAATGTGATTTTGTGGCCATTACAAAACTAGTCTTCTGGGAACATACAAAATTACATATTAAAGCCGACAAACTCCTTAAATGCCCCAAGTGTCCTTTCGTCACCGAATATAAGCACCATTTAGAGTATCACCTTAGAAATCATTATGGTTCAAAACCATTTAAATGTAACCAGTGTAGTTACTCCTGTGTAAACAAATCAATGCTTAATTCACACTTAAAATCTCACTCCAATATTTACCAATACCGATGTTCTGACTGCAGTTATGCCACAAAATATTGCCATTCACTAAAATTGCATCTTAGAAAATACTCACACAAACCTGCTATGGTACTAAACCCAGATGGAACCCCAAATCCGTTGCCCATAATTGATGTTTATGGTACAAGGAGAGGACCAAAAATGAAGTCAGAACAAAAATCATCCGAGGAAATTTCTCCGAAACCCGAACAAGTTCTGCCATTCCCATTTAACCAGTTTCTACCCCATATGCAGTTACCATTCCCAGGATTTCCCTTATTTGGAGGTTTTACGGGTGCCATTCCAAATCCTTTGTTATTGCAAAACTTAGAAAAACTAGCCAGAGAAAGGCGTGAGTCAATGAACTCTTCAGAACGTTATTCCCCCGAACAATCAGAACAAATGGATACCGAGGGCGACGCAGGTGTTCTTGATCTCAGTAAACCAGATGACTCTTCCCAGACAAATCGACGAAAAGATTCGGCGTACAAACTTTCAACTGGTGATAATTCTTCGGAAGAAGAAGACGACGAGGCAACTACAACAATGTTCGGTAATGTTGAAGTTGTAGAAAATAAAGAACCAGAAGATACTTCATCTGGGAAACAGACACCAGTTAGTGCTAAAAAGGATGAGTACTCGTGTCAATACTGTCAAATAAATTTCGGTGACCCGATTTTATATACTATGCATATGGGTTACCACGGATATAAGAATCCATTTATTTGCAACATGTGTGGAGAGGAATGTAATGATAAAGTGTCTTTCTTTTTGCACATTGCACGAAATCCTCATTCTTAGAAATATAGATAAGACTGAATTCAAGGTTTGCATTTTTAAGTATCTTCACACTGAAGCTTTGTTAATATCCAATGTTTGGTTGTGTAACATTTACGCACATCTAGGGTTTTTATTTATGATTTTTTAAAATGTACTTGTTCTAATGTATGGTATGTAATCACCAGAATAATATTTTTTACCTAATCAAATTAAAATACGCTATGAATTATTAGTTTCGTCTGCTGAATAAGAATTAGATGTTATCATAGAATACAATAATTTCATTTTTGGGGATTCCATTCTCCATATATCATGATTCATCAATTTTCTTCATTTACTATTGTAAATTATTCCTGCTATGAATATTATTTTCATATGCAGCTGATCTCCGCTGTAAGATTTTTATATCAAGCATTTCCTTTAATAATTTCACTTTAAACTAAAGTTAAGACCGTTTAAAGAGTGGAGTTGCATCATTTACTTCTTATACTTGGGTTAATCTTCAACATATATTGGAAACTACAAGCAATACCTCGAATAATATTATAAAATTTCACCTGAACTATGAAAAAACAAGACTCATGGTCCAGGTGGGATCGACCATAATGGACATTTTCCATAGGAGTCTAATTTTTTTCTGGAATCATTTCGAGATGTATCTTATATCAATAATCACGATAGGCGCCAATCGCAAACATTGTGCTTGTTTTTGCTTTTTAAAAGTTTCGTTTTTTATTTTACATAATATTTGAATAGCTCCTTCTCAATGTGCCTGCTCTATCGGCACATCTATATTTGCGTAATATGCAAATAACATATTTTTTCCACTCTTTCTAACGGTGTATCGCTGATTATAATTTGAGCGTTTATGTTGGTATTCTTACTAATGATCATTATTTTTGTCTTCTTGCAATTTAGTTTTAGGTCGAATTTGTTGCATGTTTCTAAAACGTTATCCATCATCCTTTGGAGCTCCGTCGCACTATCTGTGAGCATCACTGTGTCGTCTATAAATTTGGGCAATTTACAGCAATCCCATCTGATTCATTCAATGCCTCTCTAAAGAGGTTTTCAAAGTATATGTTCAATAATGCCCGTAACAACATACAACACTGTATAACTTCCTTTTCGACTGTGAAGATCTCATTTTCTAGTCGCACTGTTGCTTTTTGTTGGAGATATAAGTTTGAGATCAGTCTTATATCATTACCATCGAGTCCTGATGTTTTAGGATATTGATTAGTTTCCCATGTGGGACTTTACCAAATGCCTTCTCGAAATCAATGAAACATGCATACACATCGCAGTTGACATCCCTGGCTTTCTGTATTAGAACTTGCAAACTAAAAAGTTCTTTCCTCGTTCCGAGTCCTGCTCTGAATCCAAATTGAACGTCACTCATGTGTTCTTCTAATTTGGTGTTTATGCGCGAGTGAATGATAATAGTAAGGAGTACGTAAAGTACATGTCTCATCAAACTAATTAATTTATGTTCTTCACATTTTCTAGTGTTGGCTTTTTTAGGAAGTGGTATGAATATTGATAGTAGCCAGTCTTTTGGTAAATATCCAGTCTCGTAGACGTTGTTGAATAGCTTTGTAAGAGCTGTGATTTGGTATGCCTCTCACATCTTTAAAATTTCACCATGCACCTCATGATTGCTGATTTACTTGGTTATTGGTGATGAGTCCTGGTGATTTACCATCTTTAATCCACCTAATGGCCATAGTTACTTCTTCGTTTGTTAATTTTGGGCCGTAGGGATTGTTTATTTCAGTCGGACCTCGTGCTGCATCTTCGAATTTTTCTTGCATATATTCTTTCCATCTTCGTAATTTATCTTCAATGGTAGTCAAAATCTGACCTTCAATGTTTACAACTATGCCTGTATTGCGTTGTTTTCTGGTGTTCTGTACTTCTTTAATATTTTTGTGTGTATGGAAATCGTCATGTTTGCGTTGTAGTGTTTCAATTTCCGTAAATTTATCTCCTTTAGTATAGTCTTATCAAACTTTTTTTATTCGCTAGAATGAATTTACTTTGGATAGCTAAAAATTGAAAATTTGACGTTTAATGTTTAAAAAATAGCAATAATTGGAAAAAAAGTGCAAAAAAGTTATTTTTCCTTTACATTTTTTTGACCATTTAGACAACCGTTATATTTCGCCTACAAAAATTGTATAATACGCCTGAAACGTGTGTTAAATATATTTTTTATTTTGCAATCCAGTGTCTGCAAAAAATTGGAAATTTTCAAATTTATGCTGGGCCAAAATAAGCACTATAAATAATTAGCAATAAAAGCACTTTAAAAAATTAAAATCGGTGTCCTAGGCGGGCCTAGGGAATTTTTTAACAGTTTTTTAGATGTAAACCATTTTTTGAGTATTTAAAGTGCTTATTTTGGGCCCAGAATAACTTTGACCATTTGTAAACTATTAAACCGATCCTAACGAAATTTAACACACGTTTCATTTGTATTATAGACGTTTTTGTAGACTGAATATAAAGTCTATAAGATATGTTCAAGGTATCGAAAAAACATAAAGGAAAATTCCATTTTTTGCACTGTTTTTCCCAAATATTGCTATTTTTAAAACTGCAAAAATGAAATTTTTAATTTATATCTCACCAAATATATATTATGTAAAATTGAAACTCAAAACTTTTGCCTTCTAAAAGCTTTTTTTGTACAAGCAGTATCTCTCGAGTTAAAAAGGAAAATATGGGCACAAAAAGCAAAAATTCTCGATCATTTTCCAGATTTTGTTAAATAAAAACTGAAGCACATTTCCAACTGGTGCATATTGTGATTATTGATACAAGGTACATTCTGAAATGATTCTAGTAAAAAATAGACTCCTATGGTAAATGTCCAATTTAAAGCAGATCCTTCCAGGACTATGCTAAATAGTTAGATTGAATATATAAGCTGGTCTATATAATTCATTTTAAAGCATTGTATGCTTTGTTTACAATTATATCAATTATGGAAGATTTCGATAGGAAAAAATTACTCATTTTATTATGTGTTATACTTCTAAATAATGCTGTATTATTGGGTTTTTGTTTTTAATACGTGTTTGGTTTGTTGTTTAAATGTAGAGTGTATTTATCCTGTGATATACAATAACAGAATATTTATATAATTGTTTCATTTTGGCCAGACCAAAGACAGTTTTATATAAAGGCGGAAAGCATCTAGGACAGAATCATACAAATTATTACCGTTCTTTCTGCCATGTAATTCTATGCATATGGCAACTCTTGTTGAATGGTTCCATACTTCCGATTATAGATAAACGAAAAGTGCTTATCTTATGTTAAGTATTAAGCACTGTTTATGTAGGCTAGACCTATTCAATTTTTTTCGTCGATCTCTCTTTTTGCTGTTAAGATTCTCACCTTTTTATTATTTCTATTAAAGTGCCATATAAATATGCGATAATTATTGGTGATTGAACATCAGGTCAAATATTTGAATGAAATAACAATTTCTTTTTAGTTATGTAAGTATTTTTCAAAAAAATATGTATAGTTTGATGTAGGAATAGACAAAAAAGATTATTTTTGGTGTGAATAAAAAACAAATTCTAGTGTATTACCCCTGGTAATAATACTTTGTTGAAGAATGCCAACCTTGAATAAATTGATTAGCATCTAGTCAACAGATTTTTGTGTTTTACTTTTGTGCAATTGTGCAATTTATTTCTAGTTTGAATTTTCGGAAATATACGGGTAAAAGACTTTAAAACAAAGCAACAAAGTAGTGCCATCTTGTAAATTATTTCTATATATTATTTGTAAATTTTTTACACAGCTAAAATTCCAAATATTATTTGTGAGCTATTTTAAGTTGAGTGTAAATTTTTGTATATGATTTTAGTTTTGTTCGAATATAGTTACCATGCGATAGCGCGAAATATATTATGTATTTTGTATAAACTTTGGGGCCATAATGATTTAAGACTGATATGTAAATAGTTTGTCTTTTTTATTCTTAGTATTAGCTAGAGCAACTGATCAAAAAGTATGTATTATATAATGTGGGTATTATAGATTACCGTTTGAAACAAATAAATTATGTTTTTGATTGAATTTGTGGCTTTTATTTAATTTTACTCTAAAATATTAATGAATATACAACACTTGAGTGAGCCAATTCAGTTCATACCAAGAAGAATTTTCAGCAATATGTTTGCTTACACTCTACAGCAAAAGCTACCAAGCTACCACATTTCTCATCTAGAACCTAGAATTATACGTCTACGAAAAACTTGGGATACAAAACATTCATCGGTTTTATTATTTTTTTTGTCTTGCAATCTGTTTATTATAAACCGATCATCAAGAAACAAAAGTTAAATCTTTGAATCAAATTAACTAACCAATGAAAACATACCATAAATAAGTACCTTACAACGAAAACAAAAAGTAGGTCATAATAGTATCAACGACATATACAAAGGAAACAAGATCAGAGATTACCAAAATATATTAGCAATCAGATATGAAAATTCTACGAAAGATAACAAACCAAACTCAAGGCGACAGAATGTAGAAGGAGATTTTGTGTAAAAGATATAAAACATGAATAATAAATGAAATAATCAACATATAGATAGAATAACAAATTCATAAAAGTAACAAGAGGCCGATTGCAAAATGAAAGAACGACAGAATAGGAAAGAATTACTCCGTTTGAAGTACCAGAAATTGAATTCACTACGAATTTTGACCATGATGAACGACATTTGGAATGCAGTCTTAGATTCAATTGCCGAGTTATTTATCAAGCTGTTTGCTTTGCAAGTTTTAGAAAGCACAGCGGTCAAGATTTGAATTCAATTTCGCCAGGTAGAAATCGTTTGATTTCTCTTTTTGTTATTAGATGGCGTAGTTACGTCCGTATATAGTTATTTTATAACTATTGTCTAAGACAAGAATAGATTTTGTTTCGATTCAGAGAGGTGGCTATATCGCTCTGAAGAGGTCGAAATTCGTATAAGCGGCTTGCCGCAGCTCTGTATTGAAACAAAAATCTAGTATTATCTTTATATACTACAATTAACTTTATATGGTTGAATAGAACGTTCATTACTTCTTAGCTTAGTTAACCATTACCCAAAAAGAGCGACCCTCCATCGTATCAATTGTTACCATGACAGTGTTATCAATCATCCCCAGCTATAACTAACTTAACACTAAACAAATATCTGGCATTTCCTTCCTACTAACAAAAACACTAAAAACAAGGATTTCTTTGACCATAAACTAAAGATTTAATGTAATTGATTCTTTGCGTATCCTGTAACTACGTCTCAATTTTCGTATCGTATTCCCTTTGTTTTGGTAATCAGGACATGGAATTTTAGCTATAGGAACCAGATCATTATTTGCATTTGCATATTATACTTGTACATACTCAATTCGCTCCTAGGGTTAACAAAGTGTCAAAGCAAAATCGACTGACCTGCTCATGGTGGCGATAACTTGAAATTTTATCAGGACGTTTTTGTGCATGGTACAATGAACATATTCATTGTACCATGGATGTTGATCATTGGTTGATCATGTATATATAACCTCACTTTCGTTTATTATGTTAATAAATCTCTATTAACGACAAAAAATATTTTTGTTGAATTATAAATGTCACTATAAATAGGTAACTAATTAATTCTAAAAATTGTATCCGGATATTAACACTACAAAATAAAATATTTAAGTTTAACAAAATAATCCCATAAGACTCAATACTAAAACGTCCTCACAAATCTGACAGCGTGTCACGTTACTGTAAATATAGGGGACACCCACGGAGCGAATACATTTTCCACATCGAAGTTTACATATGTGTTAGTTACTTTTCTTAAATTATTAACATATTTATACAAAATTTTATCGTCTACTTTTACAAAATATGTACATCTCACAATAAACCCTTCTACTCATTTTTTCTGAGCATATGAACCTAATTTGCCCACTAACACTTTTTTACCTGTAGTAAAGACATTTGGTTTTACATGGTTACCATTTTTTTGAAAATAACTTTCCCTTCCCTTCTGGGTTTTACAAGGTCAATGCTGGTTCTAGATTTAACTTTGAAAACAACTTCATTTGGACTTAAACCAGTATTAGCACTTCGTGTAATTCTATAATTAAATAAGAAATTTACCACTTGCTGCCTCATAGTGAGCTCAGACTTTTGAATCTAAAATTTTTCCAATGCAGCTTTGACTGTTTGAACATGTCGTTCTACATACCCATTTGACTAAAGGTGATATGGTGGACTTTTTAGAATGGTTGTTCCATTGTTTTGACAAAATCTTGTAAATTTAGTAGCATAAAAGGTGGACGATTAGAGTTTACAATAATTAAGAATGTACAATGGTTTTAGTAAAAAAAATTAACATGTATTCATTTAAATACATTTTCACTTTTAAGCCAAGCCATTAACACGTTCGCTCCTAACCTATTGATACTAGACGTTCCTCAGAAACGGATATGGTTTTTAGGTAAAAAACAGGAATATTGGATTAAAACTCGGACATTGCATTGGATAAGGTCCATTACTATGCTCTCACGAAATTGCAAAAAAGAAGTTTTCTTATTTGATGCTCTCTTGTAGATGTAAAAGCTGTTCCAAATGCATATGTCTAATAGATGGAAAAACAATTTTCTATACCACCGAAGTGTTTTTCTTGGTACCGAGTAATATGACAACATCTGGTCTGCTCGATCTGTCCCAGACATGTGCTTATTGTAGTCAAGCACACAATCGGGTTTAATTTTCGTAGCACCTCGTTTACAAACAACCTCAGTCATAACGTGCTTATGCTTTGTGCTGATCATTCTGACATCACGCTTATCTTTCCATTTAGTAACCAATACGGGCCCTTTACATTTCCATACAGCATCTCCTTTCTTTAGCTTCTTTTTTAACATGTCCTTGGGGTTTCCAGTTCTGTCTTCTCGTAGAGTTCCAACAACGTGTGTCTTTTCCTTGAATAGGGCTTCCGCCAATCCTACGCTGTTGTAAAAATTATCGTTTATTATTTACGTTTCCATACAGCATCTCCTTTCTTTAGCTTCTTTTTAACATGTCCTTGGGGTTTCCAGTTCTGTCTTCTCGTAGAGTTCCAACAACGTGTGTCTTTTCCTTGAATAGGGCTTCCGCCAATCCTACGCTATTGTAGAAATTATCCATGTATAAAAGATGACCTTTTCCGAAATAATCCTTCGTCAACTCTTTGACAATATCCGCCGTTTTCAAGGTACCTCTTCCGGCATATACAACAATATTTAATATATATATCCATCGTGTGTAGTGAGTTCGTATAGTTTAATCCCATACTTGTGACGTTTACTGGCTATGTATTGTCGAAAGATGAGACGACCACGCCACAAGATCATGGCCTCATCAATAGAGAGCTCTCTATTAGGGTATAGACAATTTTGTATATTTTTTAGAACTGCGTCCAAAATAGTCCGAATTTTGTAAAGACGGTCCTTAGTTTTAACATCAGTATGGTCTACGAATCGTGGCATTTTTAAAATCCCTAGAAGTCTATCGCGGGCCATAGTTTTTCCAAAAACAGGGTGGTAGTAAATACTTTCCCTGCTCCAGTGTTTGGCAAGTGAAGGAAATTTTACGATGCCTCCCAAAACACACAAACCTAGGAATTTTTTGATTTCCTCATTAAAAACTTCTTTCCATACACTTCTTTTTCGTTGAAGTGTTGTAGATGTGGATACAGTGGGTCGTCTATTAGTTTCACATACAATTGTGTTGATTATATCGTTGTCGAAAAGCACATTAAAATAATCTATGGGTTTTGCATTGGCCGGAAGATTTACATTGATAGACGGTATTCCAGTAAAATCAAATTCTGTTACATCTTCTTCTACTTCGCCCCAACCATAATGTTCATCTGAAATGTATTTTGTAGATTTTTTCTGTGTCATAGTGGTATTTGTTGTCTTATTATGGCAAATATTTGGTTCATCTGTTAGATCAAAATGTTGTTCATCCCCAGATTCACTTTGATCGGACTCTGTATCTTCAGAACTATTTACACTAGTTTCGCTAAGATAAGTTTTATCAACTACAGAATCATCGTCAGAAAAATCGTCTTCGGACTCATTAAGATTTTCTAGGAGACTATCGAAACATTTTGCCTCTATTTTATTTGCTTCAATCTGTAATTCTTGTTCTGTTAACGGGCGATTGCTAGCATACTTTGAAATTCTAGGTTTTTTCATACCACTTGGGCTAAAACAAAAAGAAAACAATTAATAATGCACAAACTATTGAACCACTCTGTACATAACTTTATTTTTCATCTAAATTTTATAATACTTTTAAGAACAATTAAAACATTTCAATATAATTTATTCGTCCAAGAAACATTCAAGTGTTTATAATGGGGCAATAAAAAAAATCTTGTAACTAAATAGAAATAAAATGAACAAAATTTAAGAATGCTAACTTTAACTTAAGAGTGAGAGGTTTAAGTTCATACAATCAACTACATTTAAAGTATCATCTAAAAAAATAATAAAAAAATTATCAAAAGTGGAATTAGTTACACAAGTGCCTTTAATTAATCATTAACTAAATAACACTAACATATTAGACCAAAATTATTTTGTTTTATTACTAGCACTATTATGACTTATTCTATAAATGATATTTAATATTTCTTATAATGGAATATTTGTATTATCCATATTTCATAAATAAAATTCACAAATATCACCATATAAACTTAAAATTATCAAGTGCTCTAAATGTGTCAATAAAATTGTTTAGGAACGAACTACCAGTATACTGGTAAAGATTACAATATTAGAGACTACATACATATACGGCGTCTACATCTCGTTCCTTTACTCCTGGTCTGTGTGAATATATAAAGCATTGAAATTAGTAGAGCTGTGAGTCAGTAAAGTGTTAGTTGGTGGTAGTCAGTATATTACGGAAAACTCGAACTACCAGTATACTGGTAGTCAGGTGCGAACGTGTTAAAAATTAAACTTTTTCAAAATTCTCAATATTTCTCAATTGTCATCATTCTATCATTGTCTCAATAT